CAAAAAAGGGAGCAAAGGCATTTGGGAGACGGAGGTTCCCGGACTCCGGAGGAGCACCCAATTTTCGCTCTCCCTAAGTTAAGGGAGAGCTTTTGGGGCTCTACTCCTATCCAGGAGTACTCACCTCGACCCCTTCGCCCGGGGCACAAGGTTCCAAGCCGCTGAACAGCTGATGTCCGCTGTTCAGGCTGGCTCTGACACCTTCCCAAGCGGACGGCTCCAAAAGAGCCGCCATCGGCGCGCCGTCCCACCGGAAGTTCCAAATTTATTATCCTATATTTCTAATAATTATAACTATATAGTTTAAAATAAAATTAAAAATCTGTTGATTAATCTATCTGGAATCATATTTTTATTGGAGTCAATAATTCTTCAGTGTATAACTCTCACTGCTAATATTTTACTACAGTTCTTTCCTGTTTCTCAGTATCTTTGTCTATTGTAATAAAAATTAGGTTTTATAAACATGAAACTTAGTAAATTCATATTTAAAAGACATCAGGAGATAAATGGGATTACAAACAGTAGTTCTTTAACTTTCTTCTCCAAAAATTGTATCCTAGCCATTTGTTGAATATTTTTATACAAAGTATATGTGCCGCTTTGGTAGCTCTGTGGGCAGAGCTGCAAAGAGGGCCAGGTGGCCGAAAGCGCCACCAGCCTGGCTCAGAAGTGAAAGGGAAGAGGCTGGGCAGGTGAGGGGGAAATCTGCCCCACTTGTTCTGTGGCCAATTTCAGCCAAGCTATGGCACGCCCACCAATGGTGCGGCCAGGAGGCTTGGCAGATTCTCCCATATCTGACCCACATGAGGCTGTAGCCAGGCCTACCATTCCTATGGTAACCCTAACCCCCACTCCCCCCAACCCTAACTGGAGATTGGAGGGCCTGGAAAAAAACCAGAAAACTTGTGAAAAAACAATTTTTTCCCCATTTGTTTCCTGCTGTTTCCTGTTGTTAACTGCTTTGGAAACAAATGGGAAAAAGCGTTTTTTTTCCTACCCAACTTTTTCCAGGTTTTCCCCCCAGGGCTTTCCATCTCCAGTTAGGGTTGGGGGGGGAGTGGGGGTTAGGGTTACCATGTGCATGGGAGGCCTGGCTATGGCCTCGCATGGGTCAGATGAGGGGATCCGCCAAACTTCATGGCAGCGGCATTGGGCTCAATGCGCGATGTGGCAAATGGCTGTGACTAGCTGAAACTGACTGCAGAACAAGCCAGGTGGCGGTAAGGAACCGGTATACCATTGGTTAGCAGGGCACATGGGTCAGATGGGGGATCCGCCAAGCCTCCTAATGGCAGAGGCATTGGCAGGTGCAACCCACAATGCGGCAAATGGCTGCAGCCAGCTGAAACCAGCCATGGAACAAGCCGGGCACTGTGAGAGGCAGCGGTAAGGTATACCATAGATTAGCGGGGAACATGGGTCAGATCCCACTTCCCCCGCCGGCTTTGCCTCATCGCAGAGGCACTGGCAGCTCCTCCCTTACCTCATGTCTATGGTAGAAACCAGACAGAATTGACGGCCGGCCATCTGTGTAGGCTCCTAAGTAGGACTTACTTTCAGGGGAGGGGGTTATATTAGGCCCACCCCTGAAAATCAGGCTGGGGCTTACTTTTGGGGGAGGGCTTACTTTCGGGGAAACATGGTATAATGCATAATGCTTCTTTTTAAGCACTCTTTTCTTAGCATTCTTAAGCAGACTGCTTAAAAAGAATGAGGAATAGTAAGTTAAAGAAATTAAAGGCGTATGATAAGAAAAATGAAAGGTAAAATTGTTAAAATTAGCTTATAATTGATTTACTGTTTGTATTTGTACTTTTCTACTCTTGAAACTATTTTCACTTCCACCACATCAATGTGTCTTTTATCTTTCAAACTTTTCTCCTCTCTGATTTTGAGAATATTCAACATTCCCAGTATATCCTTTCCTTGGATCCATTTACTTTTTTAATGAATAGAATAGAGCTGGAAGGGACCATGGAGGTCTTCTAGTCCAGCCCCTGCTCAAGCAGGAGAACCTATACCAGGGGTAGGCAACCTTGGCTCTTTTATGACTCGTGGACTTCAACTCCCAGAATTCCTGAGCCAGCTGTGCTGGCTCAGGAATTCTGGGAGTTGAAGTCCACGAGTCATAAAAGAGCCAAGGTTGCCTACCCCTGACCTATACCATTTCAGACAAGTAACTGTCTAGCCTCTTCTTAAAAATCTTCAGAGATGAGGTAGAGAAGAGAAAAAAGAAAAAAAAAAGACATTGACTTCCGACCTTCCTTTGGTGCAGCAAAGTAAAGTATCAACTTCAAACCTCAATTTTTTACTTTTACAAAATAATATAAGCTAGCCATTTCGATAACATCAAGTCTATCTAATGCAGGGCTTTTCAACCAGTGGTACGGGTACCACCTGTGGTACATTGGCACCTGGCAGGTGGTATGCGGCCATCCTAAAAAAGTGGTAGCAGGGGAGGGGAATAAGCTGAACCGGTGGCAGCACCGCACAAGCCTGAGCGAGAGATGGCTGGAGCTGCAGGGCTCAGT